CTAGGGAACTGACCACGTTTTGCTTTTATGCCTAGTGTAGTTAGTTTTTAATTGGAAAGAAGAGTCACTAGCAGGAACACCAGCTTGTTCACACAAAAGAAGCAATACAAAGAAAACACCTGTGAGACACCTAGTTAACAGATGGGAAGCCTCACTCAGTCATTCACTGAGTGTGTTGCTAGTAATACATAGTCATATCAGAGCTTACTGAGCTTCAAATTAAACAACAGCTGCAAAAGTGACCGCAGAGCTCAATCTCAGTCTTCACTGGACTGAGATTGGGCTCTGCAATCACTTTTGCAGCAGTTGTTTTCTTACTCCAGGTCATGATCCTGCTCAATGTCTTTTTGCCTTTTTGTCAGTAGACTATGCTTATGCTTTTCAAATGATGCTTTCCCGGAAACTGTGCCTTCATAACCTTTGATACTGTAGCTCATGTACAACACAGCAAACAAATTGGAAACTTCAGTTACAGAGGCACCAGCTAAGTGAGCACCAATGATTTGCCATTTTTGAAGTACAGTAAGCTCTGTATTACTAGCAGTGCATGCGGTGAATAACAAAAGTGAGGCTTCCCACCTGTTAGCTAGGTGTCTCATCGCACAGTGGGAGCAAAAGAATTTTACATCACTTTCATGGCAAAACATGTCACTTTCACACCTGCAAACCATATAGTGTTTCCATTTTTATGTCTAACCCCTGTATATGTACAATTATATATTTATATTATGTTTTTAGAACAGGTATGCTATTCTCCTGCAACTGAACTGAAAACCAGTTGTATTTTCATATATATATATTTATTTATTTATTTCAGGTACTTATATAGCGCCGTCAATTTAGGTAGCGCTTTACATATATTGTACATTCACATCAGTCCCTAACCCTCAAGGGGCGTACAATCTAAGGTCCCTAACTTACATTCATACATACACATACTAGGGTCAATTTAGACAGGAGCCAGTTAACCTACCAGCATGTCTTTGGAGTGTGGGTGGAAACCGGACAGCACAGTGGCTAAATGGTTAGCACTTCCGCCTGGCAGTACCAGGGTCGTTGGTTCAAATCCCAACCACGACACCACCTGCCTGGAGTTTGCATGTTCTCCCCCGCCTGCGTGGGTTTCCTCTGGGTACTCCAGTTTCCTCCCACACTCCAAAGACATGCTGGTAGGTTAATTGGCTCCTGCCTGAACTGGCCCTAGTATGTGTATGTATGAATGTAGGTTAGGGACCTTAGATTGTACACCCCTTGAAGGTTAGGGACTGATGTGAATGTACAATATATATGTAAAGCGCTGCGTAAATTGATGGCGCTATATAAGTACCTGAAATAAATAATAAATATAACAAAGGATTTTCAATGGTATAATTAAGAAATTAAAAGCACATAAGAAGTCAATTGTTAGGATTTACATGCACTTTAATGTGTAGCAGAGTCTAACTGTAAACAGCACTTTGCCAATATACTTAAAGCAAAAATTAAAATGTCTACCTCTGTTAATGATTTATATTAGACTATCCTGCAGTTGGAATCCAAATTAATTAATTAATTGAACTTATATTTTACATTTTTCTGTTTCTTATTGCATTTCAGATGTGGAATGATATATATGGAAGCAAAAGACTTAGGATGGGAGCCGTTGACTAAGTCATGGTTAGCTGCAAAACTTCCAGCAGGGCTTACTGCTGAGGAAAGCCGAATTGTGGAGGTAGAACCAATACTCACCGTATTAACTCTAGGAGGAAAAAAAATGTTATCTTCTCTCATCTAAACAATTTCTTGCTTCCTAGCCAGTCAGCACTTCAACATTTAATAAATAACCTAGGCTGTGGACAGGACATTTTTTCTTTATTTTGATACCCTTACAGAAGTAATCATGCCTCTTGTCAGGTTCTCTACAGATAAAGACAAATGCTCTGCATTGCCAGACTGTCTATGCATTTCAATTTCAACCTAAAACAATGAAATGTGTGATTGCTGGATATTCCGAGAATGTCATTTGTCTTGTCATTTGGGATAGAATGACCATACTGCATAAACGTAGCAATTCAATGAACAGTACAGAATATGGAATTTTGCATTCTTTCAATTGTCAGTAATTAATTAAACATAACTATTTAAAATAATATATTTTAAATAAATTTTTAGGTGCATATTAGAAACATTGCATATATATTCTATGTTATTACTTTTCACAACCAACAAAGGACTCCTGGGATCAAATAAGCTTTTACTCTGCTTATATTTTTAAAATATATGAGTGCAATATTTTGTGTGTTCTTATTAAAAGTGGTATCCTTTACACTCTGCTATGTCTTATTATATTGGCTTTGCTTTCCCTTCCCCATATGTTTTTGTTTATTTGTCTATCTATCTATCTATCTATCTATCTATCTATCTATCTATCTATCTATCTATCCCTCTTAACATAAAAAATAAATAAATACTTTCTCAATAAACGGCTCACCAGATTCTCACTCAGTTTTTTGATAAAGAGTAATTTTTTTTTATTAATTGTTATGGGTAAAGCTCCACTTTAATTTCAGGAAGGCCTCAAGGGAGATGCAGAGGTTATGTACATGCAACTAGTAGGAGGCGAGCATGTTCTGCATCTGCAAATGAAAAAATTAGCATAAACCATATGATTGTCTCTTTGAATGAGTGGACCCCATGGAAAATTGGGTGTCCATGCTGAACCACTGACTATAGCTTGCACAATATGCTCCAGTAATAAACCTAGCTGGTCTCTCCCTTAGAAAATGCAGCCTACTAAAGCTACTTACGTATTGCTCATCTTGTACTTAGTTTGTACAAGGTTTGGTGTTTAATGTGAAATACACCTTAATTTTGATTAACCTCTTTAAGGGAAAGCCTTTACTGACAGTTTTCATTTACATGTAAGAGGAGAGTGGGGTCTAGGGGGCCTGAAGAGGAGAGGGAGGTCTGAGGAGGAGAAGAAAGTATGGGGGATATGAGGAGGAGATGGGGGTCTGAGGAGTAAAGATGGGAGGGAGAGTGGTCTGCGGGGGATCTGAGGAGGAAAGGGAGGTCTGGGGGGGTCTGGGGTTGTGATGAGCGTGTGATGATACCTACAACTGTGCGGGTATGTCGCTGGTCCACAAGTAGTTACAACCTGGCTGGTCTCCCACTCAGAAATTATGGCCTAGATGAAGTGCCTAAATACTGTGTATGTGGTATTTTTTCAGTGAAATAAGTACATGTAGCACCCTTCTGGGTAGGTGCTAGGATTAATTGGATTTAGTGCTGGCTCACTGTGTTCTCTAGAGCTGTGTGTATTTTGTTAGGTAAATTTAGTTTGCCTTGCTGTAATCACAGTGGCTGACAATGCCTAGTAGTGATGGGACGAACACCCCCCTGTTCGTTTCGTGATCGAACATTCAAACCTACAGAATGTTTGACCCCAAACCTTGAACACGAACAATTTACCGCATCTGAGCATGTGGTAAGATACCGCTTAGTTACTAAAATACCGCATGTTTTAGTAGGGAAACATTTATCATTGTTTCAGCTGTCAGTGGGGCTCCCCACTGTCAGCTGAATGTAAAAAGAATTGTCAGCATTGCCCGACAATTATTTTTTTTTTTGTAATGATGTGGGGTCCCCCCTCCCATCCATACCAAGCCCTTCAGATCTAGTATGGATTTTGAGCGGAACCCCTATGTCAAAATGTTTTAAAAAATTGTGTGGGGTCCCCCCAAAATCCCTTATCTGAGTGCTCACTCCTGAACCATACCAGCCTACATGCCCTCAATATGGGGGGGTGCTTTTAGGCAGATTGGGCCCCCCAAAGCACCTTGTCCCCATGTTGATGGGGACAAGGGTCTCTTCCCCACAACCCTTGGCTGTGTTTGTGGGAGTCTGTGGGTGGGGGGCTTATCAGAATCTGGAAACCCCCTTTAGCAAGGAGGCCCTCACATCTTGCCCCCTCCTTCTTTGTGAATAAATATGCAGTACATGGTACAGCTACCCATTCACAAAAAAAAGTGTAGTGTAAAAAACACAGGAGACAGTCTTTGACAAGTCCTTTATTAAAAATAAAAAAAAATCCTCAGAAGTAGATTCCATCAATCACGATGCCTGAAAAAAAAAAAAAACAGCTCCGCTAGCTCCCGCCATCTGACAGCTGCTCAGTGATGACAGCTCTTAAATACTGTCATGACATCACAAGAGTTGGGGGATTAACCCGCCCTTTGTGACATCATCCTGTGCTGTGATTGGCCAACGCATTAGACCTGACCTGTGGTCAGGTGCATTGCTTTGACCAATCACAATGCACTGTCAAGGCGTAGTGCATTGTGGTGCGTGGCGAGTGTTCAGCAAACACGAACAGTCAGTGTTGGAGTCGAACTTAGGTTTGACTCGAACATTCAGCCCAACACTAATGCCTAGTTAGATCTGTTCAGTGTTTGCAGCAGCTGCCAGTCTGATAGCTCCATCTGTGTTTCAGGAATTTGTGAGAATGTTCTGGATCATAAGTGTAGAGTTATGCAGATAGAAGTATGAATATTTATACAGCCCTGGCTAATCCCAGGGAGCTGGGCCCTGATGGCATGCCGGGTAACACACAGTCATTAACTGAAACAGGAACAGCTGTGTAGAAGGCTTAAAACTGTTGTTGCGGTGATCAAAGACAATGACTGGCGGCACTGACCTAAAGGGGTTTATTTACTAAAGCTACTCCCTTCTGCATAGAAACCAATCAGCTTCTAACCTCAGCTTGTTCAGTGAAGCTTTGGCAATTAAACCTGGAAGCTGATTGGTTTCTATGCAGAAGGGAGTCTGATTTTGGACTCTCCAGCTTTAGTAAATAAACCCCAAAATGTCATCAGAGCAGTCAGCTATTGCACATGATCATCACCAAAGCAGTGCTTCATAGTGACACTGCACTTGCTCTGGTGACAGTATGCAAAAATAATATGCATGCAGGCTTTGTTTACAAGTTATCATTGTGATTGGTCACAGTGATCACTTGCTGATGCTGGCTGTATGTATGTATATATATATATATATATATATATATATATATATATATATACACATTATATTGCCAAAAGTATTGGAACACCCCTCCAAATCATTGGATTCAGGTGTTCCAGTCAACTCCATGGCCACAGGTGTATAAAATCAAGCACCTAGGCATGCAGACTGCTTCTACAAACATTTGTGAAAGAATGGGTCACTCTCAGGAGATCAGTGAATTCAAGCGTGGTACCGTGATAGGTTGTCACCTGTGCAATAAGTCCATTTGTGAAATTTCCTTGCTGCTAAATATTCCACAGTCAACTGTTAGTGGTATTATAACAAAGTGGAAGCAACTGGGAACAACAAGTGGTGGGCCACGTAAAATGACAGAGCGGGGTCAGCTCATGCTGAAGCGCACAGTGTGCAGAAGTTGTCAACTGTCTGCAGAGTGAGTAGCTAAAGACCTCCAAACTTTGTGTCCTTCAGATTAGCACAACAGTGCATAGGGAGCTTCATGGAATGGGTTTCCATGGCCCAGCAGCTGCATCCAAGCCTTACAATACCAAGTGCAATGCAAAGCAGCAGATGCAGTGGTGTAAGTCACAATGCCACTGGCTCCAGTAGAGACATGTTCTCTGGAGTGACAAATCACGCTTCTCTGTCTGGCAATCCAATGAACGTGTCTGGGTTTGGCGGTTGCCAGGAGAATAGTACTTGCCTGACTGCATTGTGCCAAGTGTAAAGTTTGGTGGAGGGGGGATTATGGTATGGGGTTTGTTTTTCAGGGGTTGGGCTTAGCCCCTTAGTTCCAGGGAAGGGAACTCTTAAGACATAAGCAAGACATTTTGGAAAATTTCATGCTCCCAACTTTGTGGGAAAGTTGCACAGCACGCTCCCAGCGCAAAGACTAGGGTGTTCTTTGAACAGGACCCAGGACTCACGATTCCAGGTCACATGATCGTTGTGATAGCCTCTGATTGGCTATCACAGTGATCAGCCACTGTGAAGCCTGTCCCTTGTTTTTTTTTCTCTCTGAATGGAGGAGAGAGATACATTGTATATCTCTATATCCTTGCAGAAATAAAAAAACTGTTTGTAAAAAAAAAAAAAAAAGAAAGAAAGCTAAATAAATAAATATTAAAAAAAAAATAAAGAAAAAAATACCTAGATTAAGGTTTGATCTAGTTCAGTGCCAGGGTTAGTGTTTGGGCCAAGGTCAGGGTCAAAGGTCAAGGTCAAAGGTCAGGTTCAAAGGTCAGGATTATTTTTTTTTAATTGATATCAGTGTCAGTTAGTGTCTGTGTTTTAGGTTAAAAAAAAAAAAACACAAAATGTGCACTATTGTTTCTGGGCTGTACTACAGGTACAAACAACAAATTATATACACATATATGGTATCGTTGCGATGGTCAAGAGCTGGAAAATTTATTTTGGGTTGTTTTTTGGTGGTAGGTTATGGTAGTAACAAGAAACACAGCTAAATTTAAAACAAAAATGTCTTTACTATTTTGGGCCAGTTTTTCTTTGATAATAAAAAAAATCAGGAGATATCCATTACCATTTACCACCAAATGAAAGCCCAATTTGTCCTGAAATAAACAAGGTATAATTCACCTGGGTGTACAAAGTAGTTGTGATGATATGTACGGTTTTACTAACACATGTCAAAGTTGTAAAATTTGACTTAGGCATTAAAATTTGTTTTACCCTTAGGCGTGAAGGGTTAATGACCAGGCCATTTTTTGTTATTCGGCACTGTACTATTTCAACTGGTAATTGCACGGTCATGCAATGCTGTACCCAAATGGAATTTATGTCCTTTTTTTCCACACAAATAGAGCTTTCTTTTGGTGGTATTTTATGACCAATGGGTTTTTATTTTTTGTGATATAAACAAAAAAAGACCGAAAAATTTGAAAAAAAAAAGATATTTTTTACTTACGGTTATAAAAATATATAGTAAACTCAAAGTTAGTCATACATTTATGCAAAATGTTTTCTGCCACATGTCTTTGATAAAACAAAAATCCCATTACATGTACTGTATATCAATTGGTTTGTGTGAAAATGATAGCGTCTAGAAACTATGGTATATATATTGGAATTTACACAATTTTTACTTTCTGACTACTTACCACTTCTTGAGGTGCTAAAATGCCAGGGCAGTACAAAAAAACCCTAAATGACCCTTTTTTTAAGGTAGACACCCCAAGGAATTTGCTGAGAGACATGTTGAGTCTATGGAACATTTTATTTTTGCCCCAAATTTTTTGAAAATGACAAAAACTTTTTTTTATACAAAGTTCTAAGTTGAATGATATATTGCTCACGCATGCCATGGGTATGTGTGGAATAACACCCCAAAACACATTCTGCTACTTCTCTTGAGGATGGTGATACCACATGTGGGAGACTTTTTGGCAGCCTAGCCACATACATGCCCCCAAAATCCAATGGCCTCATTTCCCTTCTTCACTACCTATCACAGTTTAGTAGGCCCTAAAATGCCAGGATATTACAAACACCCCAAATTTTTCCTTTTTGGAAAGTAGACACCCCACGGAAATTGATAAGAGGCATGATGAGTATTTTGCAGATATAATTTCCGTCACAGGGTTTTGAAAAAGAATAACAGAAAGAAAAAATACATTTTCATTTTCTTTCTTTGTTTTCCAAAACTTGTGGCAACAAATGAGATCTGCAAAATACTCACCATGCCTCTTAGCAAATACCTTGGAGTGTCTACTTTCCAAATAGGGGTCATTTGGGGGGGGATGCTTCTACTATCCTGGCATTTCAGGGCCAACTTTAGAAGCTTATGACAGACATCACCAGCTTCTCTACCCACTTGAAATCCAAGCCTTTTCTGACCCCTTTTGTTTCCTTGAAAAAAGTAGGTTTTTTGCTAGAAAATTACATTGAACCCCCAAACATTGTATAAAACACAATATATTGCCCAATTGTTTGATAAAATATAAAAGATGATGCTACACCGAGTAAATGGATACCAAACACGACATCCTTTAAAATTGCGCACGCCCGTGCAATGGCGGCACATTACGTAAATTTGTAATATCCATAGGTGATGCTTTAAAAGCCTTTACAGGTCACCACTTTAGATTTACACAGGAGTTCTAATGCTGGAATTACTGCCTCTGTTTACATACCACCATGGGACCATTGCTTGCGATTGCCTTTGCACGTGAGCATGGGGATGAGGGTGGGGAGTGAATTTTTTTTATTATTTATTTAGTTTTTTTATTATTTTTACACTGTACCTTTCATTTTTTTTTCTTTTTGATCACTTTTATTGTTATCACATAGAATCAAAATATCCCCTGTGATAGCAATAGGCAGTGACAGGTACTCATTTCTGAGAGATCTGGGGTCTATCAGACTCTAGATCTTTCCTCTGCCCTTAAAGCATTTGATCACACCAAGGTCTGTGTGATCATATGCTTTCCCAATTTCGAAATGGCGCTGTTTATATCAGGTGAAACGGAAATGATGAAATGCTCATAGCTTCTGGTTTCTTAGACCATAAAGATGATTGGAGGCATTCCACTCACCAATCAGCTATATTGTCAGCCAGCAGAACTGTCGACTGCATTTTTGGGTTCCCCGGTGGGGAGAGCCCAAGAAGACCTTGGAAGGCGGCGGGAGGGGTGGGGGAGTCCATTCCTACTGCTTGTAAAAGCGATCCAGTGGCTAATTAGTGACTAGGATTGGTTTTACATGAACGCTGAATGCCAGCTGAAAAAATGATACCAGGATGATGCCTGTAGCTGCAGGCATAATCAAGATATAACCATTCAAAGTCCAGCGATGTACCAGTACATTGCTTGTCCATGTTTGGCATATATGTAACAGCAGAGCACATGGGTATATGATATATCGGGACTGTGGACCAATATAACTGCAATTCATTCTTTTTTGTAATGCCCATGTTGAAGGTTAGGCCCAAAAAAGTTTTAAATTCAGAAACTGTGATTTTTCCATGTGAATTGTCAGGCAAGAGCTGAATTTGGGTGAGCAGTGATGTATTGTTGTGCGTATAAACTGCTTTTGCCCACAATCCATTAATACAAATTTTCTGTGAAAAACAGCGGAGGGGCTAAACGCTATTGCTGACAGCAAATGGGGCCGATCCTGCTAACACTGCATTTTTGGGGACACAATACAAAGGAGACACTAGTATAGTTCTGTTCATGATCAATATATTGAAGTGTACAAACACTATACTGGTAATGGCGGTGATGAGCGACCTATAGGGTGAGTGCGATAGTGTGTAGGCAAAAACGCTAGCTGACCCTGGCTGGGAAGGGTGCTAACTGACCCGACGCTATATATATAGATCTGATTCTATCGTTCCATTCTCAGTGTCTAGAAAAGACACTGCTTTATCTCCAATGGACATGTTGAACTATATATCATTCCTGAAAGAATTTAATATTCCATTAAATGCATGAAGGGCCCCAATGTCTCCCCACCACACCACAAACATGTCATCAATATAGCACCACCTACTGGCACAATGTTGGTGCAATAACAAGAGATGTGTTGGTACGTTCGGATTTTAGAAAGAAAAAAAGTGAGGTAATTAGAACCTTTTTTCGGCAGTAAGAGAAATTGGTGTTACCCTTGTCTCAACTGCATACAATGTAATGTGATGAGAAAGGGGAATTGTTTTGTCCATCTTGGTAATGGTTGTAAATATAGGAAAAATCCCCCTGCGCTCCACAGAACCTTTAACTTAAAGTCAGCTGCTATCACCTTTTCCCTATACCTTCGGATATGTGCAAATAAAATTTATATATTTTGTGATGAAGTGCTCAACTTATATAGTGTATACAGACCCTTTTTACATCAATAATATTGTGAAAAATTCAAAATAAGTGCTTAATTCCCTCTTAAATTCTATAAAACTATACAAAATCATTTATAAATAACTGGTGCAAATTCACACTCCTATTTATGCCCCCTAGTGGTCAAAAACCGTGACAATTCTACTACAAATGCTAACACTTTATCTGTGCAAAGTGATAAGTGTATCCAATTACATGAACTAAATCAAATAAACAGTCCAAAGACTTGTGATGCCACACTGTGCAAATAATAAGTGTTCAATACACAGTGATTATAACTTCACTCCATGCTGCAAACGTGCTCTTCGTGACACTCTGATGTGACTCCCCTGGATTTAGCCAAAATGCCTCCTCACCGTTAGAGAATTCCATACATGCCAAACATCTTATGTTGTGTATGCACTATTGTGCCCATGTACAGTAACTTAGTTATTTTGGAGAAACAACACAAAAAAATGAGGATCGCATATTGCAACATTGCTCCTCCATTTGTGCTTAACAGCCAGATGTGCCGGTTCCCAAACATTTTATGGAATATGACCAAAAAGACACTGATTTAAAATGTATTATATTGGAAAAGGTAAAAAAAAGACAGGAGAGGTGGAGACAGAATTCTTAAATTAAAACAAAAGGATGTATGGTGGATCAATCAGCTCAATTCTCTGCACTCTTTTGGTTTGAATAGGGATTATGATTTGTATTTATTTTTGGTAATATAGTATAATTATATTTTCGATGATTGCCCATGATTTCTTCCAGACCCATGAGAAAATGGAATGAAATGGCTGGGGTGAAATAATGGATTTTCTGTATCAGTTTTTTTTTGATTCATGGTGATAGTTAATTAATTCTTTAGGTTTTGTTTTTGTATAGTTGGAATTACAGTATGTTGATTATAATATGCTGTAACATATGAGAAATTATTTGTTTATTTTTGTTTTCATTTTGTTATATAAAGTTTTTTCCTAATATGAGAGTAATGCTATAGTGCTGCT